CTACTCAGAAGGCAGGGATCAGGAGGATCATGGTTCAAAGCCAGCCAGAGCAAATAGTTCCGAGACCCTATCTCAAAAATACCCAACACAAAACAGGGCTGGCACAGTGACTCAAATGGCAGAGCCCCTGCATAGTAAGTACAAGGCCCTGGGTTCAGATCTCAGTACCACAAAAAAAAAAAAAAAGGAAAGAAAGAAAGAAGGAAAAGAGGAGGAGAAGGAAAAAAAGAAGGAGAAGTAAGGAATGGCTGTCGTTTCAGTTGGTCATTTGGTGTGTACCTGTCCCCCAAACCCAACTCAACCAATCTGTCAAAAGGCTCATCTCTCAAATGTGAGCCAGCCATCAGCACTGGGGAGAGTGGGGCTTTGTGTTCTGAGCAGGCTGATCACTCAGATACTCTGGCATTAGGGACCACAACAAACCAGAAAACACTAACCACATCCATTCTGTTACGCATCACACAGGTGTCTCTGCAGACTTACTTAATCCCTGATCTACAGATCCCTTAGATGGGTCTTTGTGTGTGATGCTCTGGTGACATACAGTTCAAATACAATTCAGTGGTCTTTAGTCATCATAGAGTTGTGCAACCATTACCACAGTTTTAGAATATTTTCATCACCTCAAAAAGAAACCCCATATTCTTTAGTATTCACCTCCCACTTCCCCAAGGCTGCCCTTCCCTGCTCTAGGCAACCACAAATCTTCCTGTCTCTGTGGATCTGTCTATTCTGAACATTTTATAGAAATGGAGTCACACAATATGTGGTTACCTTACTCTGTTTTCTGTTGCACAACAAAGTAGTTGAGGCCAGGTAATTTATAAAGAATAGATGTTTCATTAGCTCATGGTTCTGGGGTCCAGGGAATCCAAGGTCAAGGGGACACATGGGGCAAGGGTCCTCTTGCTGGTGGAGACCCTATAGAGTCCTAAGGTGGCACAAGGCATCACATAGCAAGGGGGGCCCAAACTGGCTTTTATAACAAAATTACTCTTGAGAGGATTAACAGCCAATTAATCCATGAATGAATCAACCCATTTATGAGGGCACCTTCAAGCCCTAAACATCTCTTAGAGGTCCCAATTGGTCCTACCTCTTATTATCTCACAATTAAGGTAAATTTCAACAAGGGTTTCAGTGGGGACATTCAGGCCATAGCAGTGGTCTTTTGTCACTTGTTTCTTTCCTTCTGCTTGATAGTCTAAGGTTTTCAAGTTTCCTCCATGTTGTAACATGGATTGGTACTTCACTTCTTTTTATTCCCAAATGATAATCCATTGCATGGATGTACCACATTTTGTTTATTCACTCATCACCTGATGGACACGGGTTGTCCTTCCTTTTTGAAATTACGGATGCGACTGCTATGAACTCTGTGAGGGTTTCTGAGTGGACCCATGGACTTGATGGTCTTCGGGGAGCCTGGTTCTCTGACACACTGGCAAACACTGTGTGTATGCACTTCCCAGGCATGAAGGGGCAGAGCATTCATCAGGCTTACTGAATAGGCAAAGGTCCATGCCTGGATGATCAGCCCAAGCTCCTTGCCTGTCTCTGATGCCCTGTGCCATGCCTCCTGCCTTTTCACACCAGCTTTCCAGTCAGATAGACCTGGGGCTTGGGGGCACTCTGCCAGCTACTTCTGTACCTCATACAAGCTAAACCTCCCGCTATTCATCTCCAAACTGGAGACAGTTGGAGGACACCCTGCCACACAGATGACTGAGGAGCATCCACAAAGTCCTGAGCAGCAGGCCAAGGTTGATACTTGACCCAGCCAAGGTGAGCCTCCTCTGACCTCCAGAGTGTCCCATGCGTTTCCATTTCTGCACCTTGGTTCTACTAAGGAAGGAGGAGAGAAAATGCAGAGACAAGGGAGCAAGAACATGTTTGCTGGCTAAAGGGGAAGATCAGGAAGGCATTTCCATTGTTTTTGGGTTCTAGCACCCTGCAGCCCTTGGCTGCAAAAAGGGAGTTGGCAGAGAGATGGAAAAGCTGATGAAATGCAGCCCAGGTGCAGGCAGAGGAAGCTGAGAACTGGTTCTTGGCCTGGAGGAAGGTGGGGAGGGGATTCAGAGCATAGAGGCCACTGGGCAGGAAGTGAGGGTGGAGGCAGAGCGATAAGTCTGACAGGAAGCCAGGGAACAAAGGAGTCACACCTGATGGTATGCAAGGAGGATGAGGTCCCAGGAGGGGGGCAACTGTGGTTTAAGGAGGGCGGAAAGGTTAGAAAGGCCAAGGGCGAAGAGAGAAGAGAGAGAGACCAAGACTGTGGGCCTGTCCAAGAGCTCCTGAAGCTGGAGTCTGCAGGGGACCACGGCCCTGATTAGTGCATTGCAGTGGCTCTCCAGCTCTGCTCAGTTACCTGTGACCCAGCAGAGAAGGCCGATGGTGGACCCCTTCAAAATGGAGGGAGACAGAGAGGAAGGCAGGAGCACGCTGGATTGATGGCTCTTAAAAAAGGATAATGGGGATGTCAAGGCTGGATAGAGGAAGAACTACAGTTAACAGCAGAGAGTTTCAGGTTATTAAGAAGACCCAAGAAGGAGCTTGGTAGGCATGAGCATTTAGGGGATAAAACCATGGGGGTAGAAAGAAGATATAAACAGGAGAGGGCTGTTGATGTGGCTCCATTGGCACAGCGCCTGCATAGCAAGCGGAAGGCCCTGAGTTCAAACCCAAGTACTACTTCCAAAACACCAAAACAACAACAACCCTGAAGCAGGGACTGCTTGAGCTCAGTTTGAGGCTAGCCTGGGCAATACAGTGAAGTGTCATCTCAAAAAAAAAAAAGCTTAAATTTAAGGCTTATAAAATAAGCCTTCTTGGATTGTAAGATAACTGTGCAAACAACATCACAACTTTTTATTTGTTTTACAAATGTCCACCACCACACCTGGCTAACAAACTTTTGGTGGTGCTGGGGATGAAGCCCAGGGCTTCACACATGCTTATCACTGGTCATGTCATCGTGATTTAGTTTTAGAATATTTCCCCTAGCCCCAAAGAAATGCAGTATCCAACGACAATCACGGTCCATAGGCAACCATTTAGCTGTGTTCTGTCTCTAGATTTGCCTTTTCTAAGCACTGAATATACATGAAACCATTCAATATGTGGCCTTTTATGCCTGGCTTCTTTATTCTATTTATTTTTTGGTGGTACTGTGGTTTGAACTCAGGGCTTTGCACTTTTTGAGTCATGCCTACAGCCCTGGTTTCTGTAACTTTTCAGACACATCTGAAGCATTAAGAATTTTTTAATGTACTTATTAGTGATTTCTATACCTTATTTGGTGAAATGTCTATTCAAATTTTTTACTCACTTTTCAATTGGGTTTTCTTCCTATTGTTGAGTTGTAAGAATTCTTTACATAATCTAGTTTTAAATCCTTTGTTAGATATATGACTTGAAAATGATTTTCTTCCACCTTGTGGCTTGAATTTTCATTTTCTGGATGTCTTTTGACAAGGAAGAACTTTTAATTTTGATGAAGTCCAATTTACAAAGTTTTTCATTTAAGGACAGTTTTGCCTAACCTAAGGTCACATAGATTTTTTTCCCTTCTTCTGGAAGTTTTATAGACATCAGATTAATTAGAAACCAATAAAAACAAATTATGCTTTAAAAATGCATGAATGTACGGAGATTAAACAAGGCAATGTTTAGTAGCCTATGGGTCAAAGAAGAATTCGAAAGGCTAAGTAGAAAATATTTCAAACACAGTGGTAATGAATAGATATTTTTGGGGGGCAGTACTGGGGTTTGAACTCAAGCACCTGTTGTATCACAACTGTATCATGTCAGTCTCCTACTTCAAGGGCTTTCAACATAAAGTCAAAACTTTACGATGGCCTGGATTCTCCCCACTTCCAGGCTTGCTCATTTCTCCTCCTACAACATGGCATTGCAGATGCTATCCCTCTCCCTAGAGTACACCTCCTTCTCATTCCTGTTAATTCCTACTCATCCTTCATGTCTCTGCCAAGTATCACTTTCCTCAGGAAGGCTTTTCTAATCTCCCTGACAAGGTCAAATGCCCCAATTATTATCAATCCCATATTTCTTCTTAGCACCTATCATGGCTTCATCATTTAGTTTGGATGATTAGACAATTTAGGCCTCCCTGCTGTACTAGACTGAGAGTTCCACAGGGCAAAGACCAAATGTGCTTATATTCATCACTGTATCCTTACTTGACACAAACCTTGGGCACATAACATTCAGTCACAGAATAAAAACTGTTGAATGACTGAGTGATAGGTCATCTAGGATAAAAATAGGATTCAAGGGACGAAGACTACAGTGAAGGAAGATATGCCAGTGTCTTCAAAGAATAAAGTGCACTGACTGGGGAGGGGATGGACAAGGATGAGTTAAAGATCTTCTAGATAAGGGAGGAAGCCAAGGGTGCAGGGCTGTAGGAAGGTGAGGATGGTCTGGGAGTACAGCTCAGCATGGGTCAAAGAGAAACACGCTCTCAGGGAGAGTCACCCCTGACCAGATCTTCCACTGGATAAAGAAGAGGGCTGGGAGCATGGCTCAAATAGCAGAGCACCTGCCTAGTAAGCTCAACGCCTTGAATTCAAACACCAGCACTCCCAAAAATGAAGAAGAAGGGGTCAGATAAGATAAGTGCTATGCTTTTGGCCTTGGAACTAGAAGGTAAAAAAAGAAAAAAAGAAGTTCTCATAAACACTAAAAAGGTCTCAAGGCCTTAATTCTTCTAGGGGAAGCAGGAAAGTTGCCATTCACTGAAGGAAGTTGACAAGTCAATGAAAGCAGGACACAGGGAGACCCCTCCAAACTTTCCACTGAGCCCCTGAAGATCTGCCATAATCCCGCTCCAGAGGAATTAGTAAACTAACACAGAGAACCCTCCACACCTAAAACTGTCACACAGCAACAACCCATTAATGGCTCTTCTGGCTCTTTTTCAGACACTAAAAACAGATGTTTGAGGCCTAAATACAAACTTTTCCCATGAAGACACGTACCTTGGTGAATGTAGGAAACTGGATGAAGGTGTCCTGGGGCAAATCTGGGATCCCCTGGGGGATGGAGAAGTTGCCCACATAAAAGGCTGGGAGTGTGTAGTAAGATGTGCAGGTAGCAGAGTCTTCACCATGGTGGTCAGCACCATGATCTCTCCAAGCCCCCAAGTGGCTGCGTACTGCATCCTCAGTGTTCAGGGGGAAGATTGTCCAGTTCGTGAGGATATTGGAGCCAAGGGTCAGGTTAGAGACCAAACCCTATGAAGGAGAAACAGGGCACACTGAGCTGGGGAGGGAAGGAAAAGAACTTCAAGGGTCTCTGCATTCAGCACTGAATTTCTGGGAAAAGCAAGCTGGAATACAAATCCCTGCTATAAATAAGAGTCAAACCATGCGCACATCCAAGAGACACAGGTCGCCTCAAGCATTAGTCATATCTGCTAGGGAACAGGTGTATTTCCCAAACTACAACTTTTCCTTCCTTGGGAGGCTATATGTCACCGCAAAAGGGCCAGAGCTGCTGCATCCACAGGAAGGGGATGGAGCCAATGGAGCACTTCAGTGTTTGCTAATATGGAAGAAGAAATGGAACCTGAGGAAGGGGGAAATGAGAAGTGAGGGATGCAAAGACCATTTACCCACTGCAGATGGGAGGGAGGGAGGGAAGGAGGGAGGGAGTGGATGGCCTCTGCCTCTCACCCTGTACTGGGAGCCAGTCTTGACCTTGAGCCCCTCCTGAGCAGTCCTCACACATGGTCACACCTCAGTGCACTCAGCTACTGTGAGGACTAAGTGAGAAGTCACAAGTGAGAACCCTCTCAGATCTGTGAGAGGACATAAAGAGCAATGATGAAAATGGCCAGCCTCTGAATTGCTTTGGAAGTCACTCCTTGTTCCACAGGTCCACGGACTTGAGGTGTCCCCGGCTGTGATCATGGAGACTTATGATCAAGACCCATCTAAACTTCCCATTCTCAGCTTTTTTTTTTTAAATTTGTTTTTCTGAGACAGGATCTCACTATGTATCTCAGGCTTGCTAGGAACTTGCTACGTAGACTAGGCTGGTCTCAAACTCATGATGTTCCCACCTCCACCTCCTGAGTGCTGGGATAATAGGCACATACCACTGTGCCCATTCTCGGCTCATTCTTGGCTTTTTATATGGGGGAACTTTTCCATTCCCAGTGGATCCCAGATTTGTCTCAGGATACCTTCTGATACCAAGTCTTAATTGTCCATTTAGTAATCCAGTAAATATTAAGTCTGTGGCTGTGTGCCAGGCTCTTTTGCTGGGTACCCAGACTATTCAACAGTCTAGTCAATCCAGGGGTCAGTGTGGCCTCTGATAGCCAGGGAGAAAGACTACTGATTATAGCTGAGCACAAGGATGGTAAGAAAGACATCTATACTTGAGGCAAAGGCTATCTGTACATAGCCTTCCCTAAGTGTGTAATTGCTTGGCCTCTGGGCTGTCTCCAAGAGGGTTGGGAAGCAGTCCTATGTTCTTGTCCTGTCCTAGACTGGTGGTGCCATTATTTCCTACAGAAAGTCTTCTCTCTTCTAGAAGACGGTAAGCTATGGGCAGTCTATTTTCCATCTCTGCGCCCCCTGAAATACTTCTGGGGCACCCTGTAACAAAGTTTGCTGAATAATGCTTTAGAAATATTTGTTAGAAAATATAGATTTGGACCAGATACTGAGTGAGCAACCCAGATAAGAGGCAGTGTAGCAAGGCAGAAATCTGTCCATATTGCTTGTGTGTCATGGACCAACTGTCAAAGCCCACATAACCAAGCCTATCAAACACTAAGCTGACTTGGTTGACAAGGGAGTGACTTTCATGAGTGATGTGGGTTTTCAAAGCAGAGGAAGAACATGGTGGAGTGGCTTCTGTTCCTTTCCACGCGATGACCAAACTCAAGCCCAAAGGAGGCAAAACAAATCAGAGAGGCTCACTCATCAAGCATGGCAAAATGTGTGTGTGCTTTTAGGATTTAACTGGCTGGATGGTGGTGATCATTTCACAATGTGTATGTCTACTGAAACATCACAGTAAAATTTGCTTCGCTGTCAATGAGAGCAGAGGCAAAGAATGCATGGGTGAGTTTTTAAATGGATGTATACAACGTCCTCTGACCGATTAGACACAGGCCTGCCAACCCTGAGTCTCTGTGCTAACATTGTGGTTCATCCTACCTTAAAATCATTGATAAATGTGCCATAGTTCACACGCCCCATGTTCTCCACCAGAATGTCCACAGTGGCTCCTGCTTTCCCCGTTATGTTCAGAGTGATCACGTTGTTTCGCTCGAGGATGCCCTGGGGGACCTGCGGATGAGAGTTGAATGGAAGGTAAGAAGGGCAGCACCCTTACTTACTTACTTACTTTGGCCCTCATGTGCCTGCTGCAAAGGGTCATCAGACTTACAGGGAGTGAGCTGGTCCCTCAGTCCAAGTCATGGGCCAGGTGTCCAAGTTCCCCCCGTCAATACTTTCTAAACAGGAAAATGACCACACACACACACACACACACACACACACACACACACACACACTCAGAGCACAGCAAGGGTCAGCCAGGTTTCCTTTTCCTTTGCCTTGGAATGTCGTTGTGTCTTTTTTTTTTTTTTTTGGTGGTACTGGAGACTGAACTCAGGACCTCACAGTTGCAAGACAGTTCTAGAAGACAGTTCTAGTACTTGAGCCACACCCCCCAGTCCCCGAGCATCTATTTTTAAAGGAACAAGAATGGGAGCAAAATTCCAAGAGAGAATTCCTAATACAGAAACCACTCCATGTTCTCACAGCACAGAAGTCAGTTGTGAAGAAATAGCTACTAAATAACTTGGAGAGATGAACAACCTCAGATGACCAAGATAAAATCAGAGAGTTAGGTGGAGTGTTCTTACCTCAAAATACTTGACATGATGCATTAACCACGGAAATTATATAACAGAATGAAGGAAAACAAGAGGTATCTTATCAACAACATATTCCTAATTCTTTAAAAGGTTATTTTTTTTATACTGACATTACACTGACTGCAATTCACTAAGACTACTCCTAAATTGACAAAGAAATAATCAGCATAAGTATAGCATAATCTTTCAGAAATGTGTTCCCACTGAAAGTAAAGCTGCTGATTACAAAAAAAATGGAAATATTTTAACTCAACTCTTGGTTTGGAAAATCTGTTCATGTGCCTTGCAAACTACTATTTCAATAAGGAATGGATGTCTTGTTGTTTATCTGGGTCTGCATTTATTTCAATTTTTGTTTTGAGACAGTCTCGCTCTGCAGCCCCTCACAATCTGCCTGCCTCAGCCCTCAACTTCATTTTTAAAAGGCAGTTTCTCTAGATATATAAATCTTTTTTCCCTGAATTTTAAAATATCACTCTACTGCTTTCTGACCTCCATTACTTTATACATGAAGTCAGTACTAATTGTATTATTGTTTTCTTGAATGTGATGAGTTATTTTGTTGCTTTCAAGATTTTTCTTCCAGCAGTTTCAGATGTTTCTAAACATGGTTCCCTTTGTATTTATCTTACATGGGGTTCTTGGAGCTGTGGGTTAATGTTTTCCATCAAATTTGAGAAGTTTTCACCATTATCTCCTCAAATATTTTTCCCCCCCTCTCTTCCCTCCTTTGGGATTATTACATAGTTAAACCAAGAGACTCGACAGTAAGGATTGCTCCTGTGTCTTCATACTCAATGGTTTAGGGGAAGGTTGTACTCGAACACCTCAAACCCATAAGGACTCACCCTCTGCTGATTGATCTGTTATGTGTTGGGGAATGTGTTCAAAGCTGCGGCCAATTTGCAAGTATCCCCTGAATTTTACTTTTCACTAGGCTCTTGCATCTCCCACATACATGTTTAGTTTTCCAGTCAGTCAGGAATTGTGAGAGTTTAAGTCAGTCCTTCTATAGCGCTCTAGTTTCCAGGATATTCCTTAACAAAGACCCTCAGCTTTACTCCATTTATTTCCACATTAACCACTTTTAGCAAAGACAGAGATTCTACTCCACCTGAAATGAGTGTAAACTCTTGGCAGCAAAGCTGCTGGTTTTGCAGTTAGCCCCATCTTGGCAAAATAACTATTCCCACCAACCACTTGCCTTTCTCTTCTTTTTTGGATATACCATCACTTATTAGAATTTAAATTCAATTAATTTTGTTTTCTTGCCTAAGTGGGGAAAAAAAAAAAAACCCTAAGGAAGTCTCATGCTAAAAACTAATATAACTTTTGAAAAGTCATATATTTCTAAGTATCTATGTGAATTCAAATATAAAAGTTACCAGAAATGATCAAATTTATAATGAAAAGTTCCCATTACCAAATATTGTATTTTTAAATTTAATTTTATTTTTCCAGAGACAGTATTTTGCTATGTAGCCCAGGCTGCCCTCACACACATGATCCTCCTACCTCAGCCTCCTCCTGAGTGTTGAGATCATAGGTGTGCACCATTATGCCCAGCCCTGGAATGGATATTTCTCTTCCTTTTCCTCTTCTTTCCTTTCTCCCTTCTTTCTTTCCTTCCTTTGTCTCTCTCTCTCTCTCTCTCTCTCTCTCCCCCACTTTCTTTCTTCTTCTTTTTTTTTTTTGGTGGTCCAGGGATCTGAACTCAGGGCCTTGTGCTTGCTAAGTAGGTGCTCTACCACTTGAGCCACACCCCAGTCCTCCCTTCTCCCTTGTCCTTCCTTCCCCCTCCCTCCTCCTCCTTCCTTCCTTCTTCTCCTTCTTCTCAGAATGAATATTTTCAAATGCATCTGCCTTTGTTATGAAACAAAGTTCTAAGGTATCAAGTTCAATGAACTTTGTGTAGTGGCACAAAACAAAGTAGGACTAGAAACAGACACTGTCCTTAAGGAGCTGAGAAGGCGCGGGGAACACGGTGAGCTCAGCCCAGAAGCATGACCTGGGCTGGGGATCCAGAGGTTCCCGGGAGGGCAGGTCTTTGAGCACAGCCCTCAGGGTTAACGTGGGCATGGGGTGTTCTGGGCACAACAGGGCATACCTGAGGCCACATCAGCAAGCAAGGGGCACAGCTAAGCAGCATAAAGAAGAGGGGTATAGCCGAGGCTGGAGAGGTGAGCAAAGGCCTCAAGACCATGTTAACAAGTGCACACAGCACACCCCCATGGGGCAGAAAAGCACAGCTCAGACACCACTCTTACCCCATCCACGGCGACATAGGCCCGATCGTGAACCCCATTGAAGGGTGAAGAGAGGGCTGTCAGGTTTCTGCAATCTTGAGGAAGTGTTGTTCGGTACAGCACAAATCCAAAATGCTAGTTAGAAAAGGATTTAAGAAAAAGGCATCACTCTTTTTTTCATTTAAAGTGAATTTGGTTTCCCTAGATCTGTATGAAAGCCATGCTTCAAAAGTCATAAAGAATGAAAAGCTTCCCTCAACCCCAGCAAAAATCAATCTGCAAGAAGGGAACTGGCTTTGGTTCTCAGATCTCAGAGTAAACACTCTGACAGCAGCTGCAAGGAGCCCTGAAGAGTATCTTAGCACATCCCTCTTCCATGAGGGAAAATAACACAACGCCCGGCAGTTAGTTCATTTGCTCAGAGTGACTTGGAACTACTGATGTTAACTCAAAAAACAAAATCAAGAAAAACCAACATAAAGAAAAAGAAGAAAAAAAAAAAAAACCCAGTCAAATATACATCAATAAAACCAAGAGCTGAAGCTCTGCTTAGTAGAACATTGTCCAGGTTCTTGGGCTTAACTGTGCTCTAACACACAGAACAAGACTCAATCTGAAACTATTTAAAGTGGAGTAACAGGGGAAAGAGAGCATTGGGGGGCCAGGGTGTAACTGTTGCTAAGTCAGAAGTTATTTTAGATGCTGACATTCTGGTCCTCAGGGGATGCCTCAACCAGTCTCAGCATCCACAGGAATTAGTTGATGACTTTGCCCATTTCCATCTTGCAGTGGACACTAGCAAGGGTGAGCTGGGACAAAAACCTGAGTTCCCAAAGAGAATCCAGTAGAAATCCAGCATGGAACAAGGACAGAGTCCCCTACTATTGAGCCCCAAAGTTGAAAGGTGATTTGGGGGAGCCAAGGAAAGTGTGAACAACCTACTGTCTTCAATGACAGGAACAGGCTGCACACATGGTATGCTAGCCCCACCCAAACTTTCAAGCTCAATAACATCTGCCCCCAACCCCAAATCTCTGCCTCTTCTTGTTTGTATTTATTTATGTATTTATTTACTTATCAATACTACCAAAAGTGGTGAGTACTACCTCAGAAGCCACGGAAAACTGCACAGGGCTTTCAGGAGGGCAGCAGAACCTTGGGTGACTCCTGCACAGGTATGGCTGAGACCTCAGGAGTCTGGGAGGTGGCTAGCCTGCAGAGGTATGAGGCTGGGCTCCACTTCTGCAGCTGTGCACTCCATAGTTTCACTGTAAGTAAGTATTGTGTGGGCTTGTCCCCAACCTGAAACAACCAGGCCCTAAGGAGCCCCACCCAATTCCAGAACACCGGTATGGCCAGAGGTGAGAGAGCAGAAGGTTTTAAGAACCATGGCTGCAAGTGGCTTCACAGTAGCCTGGACTGCACTCCCTAGGGTCCAAGCGCCCTGTGTCTGTCCTTGTCAGGACTGCTCAGTGACCCTGCTAAAAGTTGAAGTGAAGTGAAGACAAGTACCATTTACAGATGCAGACACCTGTGTATAGTTGGTGTCATGCTGAGGTAAGAAAAGAATGCTCCCAGATGTTAGTGAAAAAGTGTATGCAGGGGGCTGTACTGACCACTGTACTGACCCAAAGCAGAGTTGTTGGAATAAAACCACAAGTGTAAAAACAGTAACTGGAGGGAAAGTACACCAAACTTAGATACGCTGTTATGTGGCCTTATTGTTCACATTCCTTCCAGAAGGCAACCTCTGCAGAAAGTCACACAGGAAGACTCAGGTAAGCTAACATTTCAAAAAAAGGGACTAAGATCCCAGTGATGGAGCACAACATGGCAACAAGGGGCAGATGGGCCTCAGGGGTATCCTGGGCATCTTGAGCTGTGCCCTGAGGAGGACATGTCTCCTCTGTTGTGTTTGCACCAAAACCATTTTATTGAGTCTAATCAGTAAGGGACAGTCTACAAGCAGCCTGAACTCGTCAAAAATGTCCATGCTGTGTGAAAGAGAGAGAGACAGACAGACAGACAGAGAGAGAAAGAAACATCTCAGATGAGAAGACTAGAGGCCTTATAAATAAATGCAAGGTGAGGTCCTGGGCTGGAAACCGGACAGAGAGAGAACGGGAGAGGGTATTACAGCATACGAAGGACACTTGACTGTAGAACGTGTACCAGAGAACAGGATGGTACCAGTCTTAAGTTTCTTAAGGGTAACCACAGTACTGTGGTCACATAGGGGAATATCCTTTATCTTAAAAGGTATATGCTGCAATATTTAGGGGTGGTCACAACAACTAAAAATGATTAAAAAGAAAAAACCAGTTAACTACATACATGCACAAAGGGAAAAATAAGATAAGAGAAGCTATGAAAAGTATGCAGGGTGAAATTTTTCAAAATAAAAAGTTGGGGACAACTTCTAAAAAAAGATGAGGCAGTGCCTAGAGATTAAACACATACAAATATACAGACACTGAAAAACAAGATGTGCTCCATTCTTTTCAAAGGCAGGAAAAAGAGCTTCTAAGAATCCCCGCTAGGAAGAACACACTTTCCACATCATTAAGGTAACATGGAATAGGTGGTTCAATTGTCTGTTTTTGTTTTTTGACTGTCCTGGAGTTTGAACTCAGGGCTTTGCACTTGCCAGGCAGGGACTCTACCACTTAAGCCAAGCCTCTAGCCCCTGCCCCCCACCCTTTTTTTTTTTTTTTGGTGGTACTGGGGTTTGAACTCAGGGCCTCATGCTTGCAAGGCAGGCACTCTACCACTTGAGCCACTCCACCAGCCCTCAATTGCTTTTTTTTTTTTTTTGCTCCAAACTTTAGTTTATTTTTATTTACTGAGATATACTTTACATATAAAACATAGATGGCATTTAGTTGGATAAAATTTAACACTTCCTATACTATGTAGTCATAACTCTAATTAAAATACTGAACATTTTCATGTCTCCAAAAAGTTTCCTCATGGACAGTTGACATTGGCACCCCTATTATCTATCTTTGTTTTAATTTTTTTTTATTCATTTATTCACATGTGCATACATTATTTGGGTCATTTCTCCCCCTACCTCCTCCCTTCCCCTCTACCCAACTTCCCTCCTCAGTTCCAGGCAGGTCCCGTTCTGCCCTTATCACTAATTTTGTTGAAGAAAAGACATAAGCATAATAAGGAAGACAAAGCATTTTTGCTAGTTGAGTTAAGGATAACTACACAGAAAGATTTCTAACATTGCTTTCATGTACACGTGTTACAACCCATGTTGATTCATCTCTAACTGATCTTTACACTGGTTCCTGATCCCCTTCTCATGATAACCTGTCGTTTTAAGGTTTCTGTATTAGTTCCTCTGGAGTGGGGACACCAAACGCTTTCATGTTTTGGGTTTTCTATCTATTTCTATATCTCCTGTATGTGCTCTCCGCTTGTCATATGATCCAAGTCCAACCACATTGCTGCATTTGCCCTAGATCTAAAGTCCGCATATGAGGGAGAACATACAATTTTTGGTCTTCTGAGCCTGGCTGACCTCACTTAGAATGATGTTCTCCAGTTCCAAACATTTACTTGGAAATGATAAGATTTCATTCTTCTTCATGGCTGCATAAAATTCCATTGTGTATAAATACCACATTTTCTTGATCCATTCGTCAGTAGTGGGGCATCTTGGCTGTTTTTATAACTTGGCTATTGTGAATAGTGCTGCAATGAACATGGGGGTGCAGGTGCCTCTGGAGTAACCTGTGTCACATTCCTTTGGGTATATCCCCAGGAGTGGGATTGCTGGATCATATGGCAGGTCTATGTTTAGATTTTTAAGAAGCCTCCAAATTTTTTTCCAGAGTGGTTGCACCTCAATTGCCTTTTTGTGAGTTAAAATGGTGGTGTTCCACCCAAGCCTAGCAATAAGGATTAAGTAGATCAGTCAAGGCACTTGATTTAAAACTTTTCAGAAGTATATTGAAGTAAGTCAAGCCACGTCCTATGTGAGTGATAAGAAATAAGAGGAAAATGCAGAAAAGATCAGCTCACAGCCTGGAGACACAGGGTTAGCTTCCTCGGGTCTCATTTATGTGGTTAGCATTTTGGTCCCTGTGTCCAGAAGCATCATCTTGCCAGTAGAAAAAAGGATGAAGTGTTACCTTCGAAGGCCTACCTGTTTCACCTGGATAAATGTCAAGGGATAAAGGCTTTCTATGGGCCCATTAGGACACAGGACATCCAAAGCAGCTGCCACTGTCTTTAACTGAAAAGAAGCAAAAGCAGCATTCATTCACTGTAGCCTGTTACCAGCAATCAGAGTAGATCATATTACATCCAAATCACCAAAGATACTGGTGAACTTAACCAAACCCCCAAAAAACCTAAATTTCACTCAATGCTGCTTCCACTCATTTTCAGTTCTCTTCATCCACTTCTTTTTCCTCCCTCCTTCCTCCCTCCTCCTTTCCTCTCCTCCCCTCCCCTCTTTCCTTCCTTCCTTTGCTGGGAATCAAACCCAGAGCCTTGCACGTACTAGGCAAACACTCTACCACTGAGCTTAAGTCTTGATGAAAAATGTAAATGATGGTATCTCAAAAAGAATTTCCAACATACGCATTCAGAAATACCACCTGCTCAGGGCTAGATATGAAAGGCCTTAAAATGAATGAAAACTGAGGTTTTGAGCCAGCCTCCTCGGTAAAGCTTTCCACAACATCTCTGAGTGAAATAACCATGAAGCGAAAGGAGTAACAGAGGCAAATGATTCTAAGTTTAGATATACTGTTATCTTGTCACTTCACTGTGACTATTTCATAGTTATTTCACGTCCTCTGATTTTGTCTGTGGCATATGTTCTGAGCCTGTGTCTTTTATCAATTGCTTTATCTTTGTATCCCCTGCCACACTGTCAGATCCTTTAGGGTAGGATACACACTGTGCTCACCCCAATACCCAGCAGCTGGTAGACATAATAAATGTTCACTATATTAATTCCAAAGGATTGTGTGTTCTTACAACCAGCATGTTTTTTCTAATGCAATAACAATGACAATACCTCCCAGTCATCAAGTCCTGTATATTTCAGGTGAGACAGGAGCACTGTATACCCACCACCTTGTTTAATCCTCACGGCTGCCCAGTGGGGCAGCACTGACCCCGTGTCTACATGAGGCAACAGAGACTCAGAGGAGCTCACCTGAGCAGTGGTAGAGCCAAGATTTGTAGTCATGTTTGGCTCCGTTACACAGTGTTCCATTGCATGATACTGGTTAGGAATTTTATAAATGCTTTCCAAGGTTACCTTGCTGCTGTGTAGCATCAAGGAAAAAAGTCTAAGTTACAACTCCATCACTGGGCAGCGGGGACTCATGCCTGTAATCCTAGCTACTCGGGAGGCAGAGATCAGGAGGATCATGGTTTGAAGCCAGCCCAGGCAAACAGTTTGCAAGACCCTATCTTGAAAAAACCTTCACAAAAAAGGGCTGATGGGGGTGGCTCTGAGTTCCAGCCTCAGTACCGAAAAAAAAAAAAACAACTTCATCAAGCCAGCTACTCACCTGGGTTTTTTCCCACATGGACAACTAAAGGACTACAACTCACAGCCAAACTTTGATTCTATTAACTATGTTTCATATATATCAAATTAAGTTATAGGCTGATTTTCCTTCAGGGGAAACAGAATGCTTCTTACTAAGCTACTTAGTGTTCTGTTGTTTTAAACACTAAGAGCTACTTTCTGCCACATAAAATTAAGTTTTCATAGCTCTAACACCAACCAACCTTTTCCTCTAGTGATTGTAGTGATGAGCAAGTAGAAGCTGCGCCCTTTTCAAGTGAGATTAAAGTCTGATTAATCTATAGAGAGATTCCTATCTGACAGAGACCACATTCTTTGTAGAATGTAGCACACAAAACTGACACTAGGTGGAAAATGTCACAACAGCTCAGTCAGCCAACCATACGTCAGAAGGCTTCTTCGATGGAAAAATTATACAATCATGTTTGGCATTTTGCTTAAAGATAAAAACCTACAATGCTATTTTAGAATCTCGAGATTCTTAAGAAAAAGGTAATTTCATGTTTTTTCTTCTTGTGAGTGAATACATGTAGGAGTTAGGGATGATGAGGGGGAAAACCTGAAAACACAGAAGGCCAAAACAACCTGACTTTGGCTTATGTCAGTCCTTTTGACTATTAAATAAGATCTAAAAGAAGTCTTTCCTAGAATAAAATGACATTAATGCTTACTTATGATTAATTTCTAGCTTCTCCCCTTGATGTCTCATTTTCTAATAAGCCATAGATCATAAAAGTCAGGACATGATTTTGAGATGGAGCAGAGTATATAATTTAGGGTAGAGACATATCAAAATTCCTGTAGCTAGCTGGGTGCCAGTGGCTCCTGCATGTAATCCTAGCTACTTGGGAGGCTGAGACTGGGAGGATCCCAGTTCAAGGCCAGCCTGGACAAATAGTTCAAGAGACCTCATCTCCAAAATAACCATAGCAAAATGGACTGGAGGTGTGGCTCAAATGGTAGAGTACCTGCATTGCAAGTGCAAAGCCCCGAGTTCAAACCTTAGTCTCATCAAAAAAAAAAAAAATTCATATGGCTTGGGGAAACTCCTTAAAAAGGGAGCAAGCAAATTATGGAAAAAGAGCCTCCCTGGTCAGAATGAGTGGCAAAGGCTCTTACACTGCCTTGGACAGCTGATGATTGAGCCAAAATGACCTTAATGACCTAAGAGTGCCAACTACTCCAGCCTGGCCCTTATTAGTGCATCCTGTCAACATGCACGCATATCTTCTCATCTCCACCTTCCATTTCCCCAGAAACATCACCCACCCTGCCACCCAGGCTCAAAGAAAACAAACTCATAGAAAAATACCGACCGGGTACAACACTTTCACTCTTGCCGCCCAATTCCACTTCCTCGCTCCTTACTAAATGCATTCTATTATTCATTCACTGCTTACCTTCTCCAGAACGATCTTCCCATAGGCAAACTTTGGTGTGGATGGAGGGATAGGACCTTCTGGGACCACTTCAAACTATAAGCCAGAGTGGAAAAACAGAGAAAAGAAAAAAGCTGTTAGCCCCTCAGAAACCAATCCATAAAACTCACCTTCTGAGAGGAAGGCAGAGACTCAAGCGACAGTGCTGGTGATTTTTGGAAAGGCAAAGGAACCAAACATATCTTCCAAACAGCATCTGGTGAAGGTTACTTCTAAGTGTGTGCCTGCGTTTTAAGCTCTGGGAGTCATTCAAATAATTACAGAACAAAAGACTTAAAACAAAAGGCAAAACAAGCAGAGAGGATGAGGGTAAACTCCAGAATACTAGGCAGTGGGAAAGAGGAAGACTGAGGTGGACGGTACCACTGGACCTGAAGGGAGGGCGACAGTAGCAAAAGCTACCCATCCTATTGATTGTGCAATGTTAAATTTACTGCAGTTACATGAGAATTTTTTTTTTTTTTTTGATACAGAGGCTTTCTATATAACCCAGGCTGGCCTCAAACTCAAGATCCCCTGCCTCAGCCTCGGGAGCCCTGGGTTTTTAGCTATGTGCCATCAGGTCCTAGTGGCTAGAGAGAATTTTTGTACAAATTCTTACAAAACATACACTGAAGTATTGGGTAGAGAGTCACGCTGCATGCGGTGCTAAAATGAGGGCTGGTGGAATGGCTCAAGAGATAGAGTGCTTGCCTAGCAAGCATGAGGCCCGGAGTTCAAACCCCAGTACCACCAAATAAATAAAATAATTAAAAAATGGGTAATTTAAATAGAGGTCAAAAGATTGTTATGCAAACCAAGTCTCCTACTTCACTTTTCATTCTATTCTTCAGAGGAAAGTATTTTGAAAATCATTTAATTATTCCTGTTTTCGCTTGTCTAAATACTTATATCATTATTTTTGATTTCATGAGTTTATTTCCAGGCATGGTGACTCATGCCTGCAATACCAACTACTTGGGAGGTGTAGATCAGGAGGATGGCTGTTTGAGGCTAGCCCGGGGGGAAAAAACCAACAAGCTAGGTGTGGTGGACCCCACCTATGATCTCAACTATGCAAGAGGCATAAATAGGAGGGCAAAACCTAACAAATAACAATGCGAAAAAGGGCTGGGGGTGTGGCTTAAATGGTAGAGCACCTGCCTAGCAAGCATGAGGCCCAGAGTTCAAACCCCAGTACCACCAAAAATTTCTTAAAAATAAATGAGTAAAACTAAAACATTATCATTAATTTCTTTAACACATGGCGAGTACACCTCCCTGGAATATCTTCCTTTCTTGCCAACGTGGCCACATCACTGTTTTCAGTTTCTCTACTGGTCACCTTTGCAACTTTAACATCCTTATGCCTTTATTTTTCATTCCATCAATTAAGATGCTATCCTTCATGTCCACATTTTCTAAGATAAGTCTATTTGCATCCTTCCCTGAGTTCTCACCACTCTAGCCCTCATCTCAGCATACACTTTTACACTGTCAAAGTTAAAACCATCTGTTCTGTTGCCTTAAATCCTCCCTTTATCTACTCAGACCTCAGAACCAATCAGTGCTCCCACTGTAATTACACAGACATTGCTCTCTGTGTAGCTAAATGGCACATACTACAATGGCAGGCTCTGCTTTGTTCAGCTTTTGTGTTCTCTCATCCTTGGAGTTTCAATTTGCCTTTTTTGTTTTTCCTTTTTTAAAATTGGTATATATTAATCGTACAAAGGAGTTTCACTGTGATATTTCCATACTTTGGTCTTTTTTCTGTCTTTAGGTCAACTCCTCTTTAGGTTATTCCTAAACATCTCTTTAGGTGATAACAAATGATAGCAAGTTTCTCCAAACACCTTTTTCCCCCAACCTCTAGAAAACTCCCATCTGGAATTCTGTCTTTATGCTCCAAGGGACTGACGCCCTTCTAGGCTTGATATCCTGAGACTTCCCTATATTCCTCTCCTGGCTTTTCAGCTTCTATTTCCAGTATCTTACAACATACTCATTTCAATGTGGCACAATCTCAAGTGACTTCCTAAGAACGTCCTGAACCTCTGAGTGTTACACTTAGTTTACAGTTTGGATGGACATGGAATTCCATGTCAAAAAAATCTTCCCTCAAAATGCCAAAGGTACTGTTCTGTTGAGCTCCGTCATTCAGTGTTCCACACACCAACCTCATTCGTGTTCCTTTGAAAGGGACTGGCTTTTTCTCTCTAGAAGAATGTTACCTCTTTATTCTTAATGTCCTAAAATTCTCTCAAGGATTTTTTTTCAACTTTTTTGGCATTCATTATGCTGGTCAATTGAGATGCCCCTTTCAATTTAGGATAAATTCTTTATTTTTCTTTCTTAAAGTGACAGGATGGACATCCTGGGTTGTTCCCCACCACTACCACCCTCACGTACTGGGATTTTGAAGTCAGGGCCTACACCCTGAGCCACTCCAACAGCCCTTTTTTGTGATGAGTATTTTTGAGATAGGGTCTCACAAACTATTTGCCAGACTGGCTTCAAACTGAGATCCTTCTGATCTCTGCCTCCTGAGTAGCTAGGGTTACAGGCGTGAGCCACCGGCACCCATCTATATCTCTTATTTCTTCTCTTCTATTAGCACCTCTGTTTCTGGTTCTAACTTCTATCATCATCATCATCATCATCATCATCATCATCATCATCATTATTACTATTTATTGGAGGTACTGGGGTTTGAACTCAGGGCTGCACACTTGCTAGGTTGGCATCTACCACTTAAGCCACTTTGTCATTCCCAAGAACTCTTTTGTGTTTGTTCTCTAGTGGCTCCTTTTTCAAAGTATCCTGCTTTTCTCTTATGGATGCAGTATTTCTCAAATCTCGCTGAAGGGTATAAATTTGAGAGGTTTTTTTTAAGATCTTTCTGTCCCCCAAATTCTCTGTTGCTTCTGTTATTTTTCTGTTTATTTCAACTTGGTCTTTTTCTTTTCTGTTACAGGATTTATGGTTGTCTCAAAGCTGGCCGTCTATTTGCATTTAATGGCGATGCAAAGAAATGTACCAGTGTCTATGTGGTCACCCTGTCTACAGCTGTCCAATGCATAGAGCAAGGCTTGCTCACTGCGGGGCTTTGTTTTAGGGTAATTTAACAGGGTCAGTTGTGATCTAGTAGGTCTTTACCCTAGGGCTACTGGCTTTTAAAATTCTTTTTAAAGAGAAAAATTCCTCTGATTTTCTGATTGGTGGAGAGATGCCTCGCAGATGAACTGTCTGAGAGTGGAGTGAAAGATCCAACAGGAAATACACAGGTTCTCATTTTCAGCTCCATTTTGCTCATACCCTTTCTGACCTCTCTTTCCAGGACCCTGTGTATTTGTGTTTTCACTGCTATGATACAATACCTAAGGTAGGCTAATTTGTGAAGAAAAGAGGTTTATTTAGCTTAGAAGTCTGGAGAGTCAATGGTATGGCCCCAGCATGAGCCTGACTCTGGAGAGGGCTTCGGGCAGATTTGGGGGTGAGGGGATGCGCAGGAGGAAGAGATCATATTTCACAAGAGGAAGCCAGAGAGGCTGTGTGGGGCCAGGCTCAAGAAAACTAACCAGGGTCCCCTGAGAAAGACCTTAATGCTTTCTAGAAGTACCTTCAGTTGATATAACAACCTTCTACTAAGCCCCACTTTTTTTTTTTTTTTTTTGGTACTGGGGCTTGAACTCAGAGCCTTGCACAAGTCATGTCTCAAGGCCTTTTTGCTTTTGTTATTTTTGTGATAGGGTCTAGTGTTTCTGCCTGGGCCATCATGGACCACCAGCTTCCCATTTACGCTTCCTGCATAGCTGGGATGACAGGCATGCGCCACCATACCCAGCTACTGGTTGAGTTGAGATCTTGCTAACTTTTTGCCTTGGCTGACCTTGAACTGTGATCCTGCCTATCTCTACCTCCCTAATAGCTGAGATTATAAGTGTGAGTCACAATGCCTGGACAAACTTTTACCTTTGAAATAAGGCTGCAAGTGAGAGATGACTAGGTCAAAGGATATGAGCATTTTGTAGGACTCTTAAAATAGTTTTCATCAAATTATGAAATACTTAGGTTTTTCACCCTATTATCTGTTTGGATAATATTATTTTAATTAATAGTATTAGCTCATTTTAACATAAGTATTAAGCTTCCATTTGTCTGTTGTTTTGCTACAATTTTCCTTTTCATTTAAATTTTAGTGTTTTTATTGATACTAGTTTATCATTTCATAAAATCCTAATATTCTATTCAACTAATTAATGTTCCAGAAAATAGACAAACCTACCAAAACACGGTACTTCTGAACCTTTACTTCTCCATAATAATTTGGCTTTAATCATAATTTTCAGACTGATAATAAGACTGCCTCTCACTATACTTCTGAAGGTGGACAAAGTCAGCACAGGGGGCTCTCTGTCCCCAGGGAACCCAGCAAACTCAACAGTGACCATCTGTTCTCTCAACCAGGATCTCATGTTTTTATTCACTCACCTGACAAACTCTTGTCCAGAAAGTACTTTGTGTCAGATCCTATGCCTGGTACCAAACAGTTGCTTGTCTAGAGTAAGAAATGTGTACAAACAAGTTATACCAACACACTACGAAAAGCAGTGCTTTGACTCACACTGTAAGACAGCAGCAGAAAACAATGTGACTAACTCCACTGAGAGCTGAGTCAAAGACAACTCTCCAGAGAAGGTAGCTGGGGTGTCCCTCACTTTCCAGGTGGATAAAGCACTGTCCCATTTAGACAGTTTTGTGAATTTTATTGTCCATTTTAAGGCCACAGAACCAAGCATAAGAAAGGGAGAATTGGAAGATAAAGGTGGCCAGGTGCAGGGGTGTGCACCTGTAGTCACAGCTACATAGGAGGCTGAGACAGGAGGAATGCTTGAGCCCAAAAGTTGGAGACTAGCCTGGGCAACATAGTGAGACCAAACCTCAAAAAAAATAAAAGAAGGTGGATGGGAAAAAAACAGGAGGCCAAGTCCTAGAAGGCATCCTGACCAGATCAGTGTTTTAGAGAAAATCCTAAGTCTGTAGGAAATGATGAG